CCTTGAGCCTTTTATTTTTCTCTTTCTTCTTTTCAAGTCCAAGCACTTGATCATCACCATGGCATCACCATCATTATGTCATGATCTTCATTTGTTTTACCACTTGGAATGTGCTACCTATCTCATGATCACTTGATAAACTAGGTTAGCACTTAGGGTTTTATCAATTCACCAAAACCAAACTAGAGCTTTCACCGGCGCCGTCGACGACGGCGACAGGGATACCGGTCGGCTCCAACAGCACAGATGGTACCTCATGCCTTGGTAAGCGTAAATCTAGTGTCTAGGTTGATTTTGATGAGATTTATAAGACTATGAATGGTCAAAATGTTCGAACTGCTGCTATCTGTAAAATGTGTAAGAGTAAATTGTCTGCTAGATCTTCTGCTGGCACTAGCCATTTGATTAGACATCAGAAATCTTGTAGGAAAATGGTTGATCATGCTGCTAGGGTTCAGTCTAGGCTTCTTTCAATCCTGATGGATCTGTGCATAACTGGGACTATAATCCTGCTGTTGCTCGCTCTGAGTTGTGTAGGTTGATTGGTAGGCTTGACCTTCCATTAGGTATAGGTGAGTCACAGACATGGGAGGATTATATTGTTCTTGCTCATAACCCTAGGTTTGCCAAGGTTTCTAGGCAGACCACCACTAGAGATCTTTGTAAGTTGTTTACTGAACGTCGTGATAAGCTTAAGAATTTTGTGTTGCCTGCTGCTTCTTTTGTTGCTTTGACTTTAGATATTTAGTCTGGTAATGCTAAGGAGAACTATATTAGTGTTGTTGCTCACTATGTGAATGCTGATTGGGAGTTAGCGAAAATGGTTATTGGTCTTATGCTGATTGAGGTTAAACATTCTGGTGAAAACATTGTTGAAAGAATAGCTGCTGTGGTTGAGGAGTATTGTCTGATTGATAAGATTTTCTCTGTCACTCTAGACAATGCTTCTTCTAATGCTAGGGCTATGAACACTTTGACACCTCTATTTGCTTGTTACTTGGGTCCTGATCCTTCACGATCCTAGTAACCATAAGTACAGTCTTGTACATCAACGTTGTGCTTGTCATATTATTAATCTCATTGTAAAATCTGGATTAAAGAGGTTGAAACCTTACACAGAAGATTTTAGAACTGTAATTAACTTCTTAAATTCCTCTAGTCAAAGAATTGCATTGTTCAAGGAATACTGTAATGCTAAGGGTGTTAGACCTAGAAAGTTTGGCTTGAATATGGATGCTAGATGAAATTCTACTTACCTGATGCTTAAACACTTGGTTCCGTACAAGAATGTCTTTTTTGTGTTCATTAATTCCCATTATGGTTCATAATTATTGACTATAAATTATTGGTATTTTGCTGAGAAGTTATTGGAGTTCCTGGAAATCTTCTATGACTCCACTGTTGTACTGTCTGGTGTTTATTATCCTACAAGTCCACTTGTTCTGCACCATATCCTAGAGATTGCTTCTCATTTGCATGCAAGTGAAAAAGATCATAATCTGAGAGCTATTGTATATCCTATGAAGCTTAAGTTCCTTAAATATTGACAAGACATACCTCTGTTATATTTATATGCATTCATTCTTAATCGTAGAGCTAAGTTGAGAGGTTTCTTTAATGTGCTGCAGTTACTTGGTGAATACACTAGTTCTGAGTATAGTTCATACTATGCTGATGTCAAAATTGAATTGTATAAACTGTTTAACAAATATGAGAGCAAGTTTGGTGCAGCTAGATCTGAAAGGGTTGCACAACCATCACATCATACAGGTATGAAAAAGCAGGCAGGCATGGGAAAGAAACTTTGGCCATGGATCAGGTGTTGTTGGTCCTTCCCTTCTCCCTGGCATTTCATCTTCATCTACTCTCTCTACTGTTTGTGAGCTATCAGCTTACTTAGACAGTGACAATGTCACTTCTTATGAGGATGATTTTGACCTACTTATGTGGTGGCGTGACCACAAGCTAACCTTTCTAATCCTGTCTATAATGGCTAGAGATATCATATCAATTCCTGTATCTACTGTATCTTTGGAGTCTTGTTTCAGTTTGATAGGTAGGATAATTGAGGAACGGCGGCGGTGCTTGTCACCAGAGATTGTGGAGATGCTGACCTGCTTAAAGAACTGGGAGTTAGAAGAAAAAAAACAGCATGCTATTGACAACCAAGAGCTTGAAGACTCATTCCAGAACTTGTACCTTGATGAAGATGGACCTGCTGCTGGTGCTCCTGGTACTTAGTGAGGTACTGAGGTTGAGACTTACTCCTAAGTGTGTGTGTGAGTGTGATCTGTGACTGTAAAAGGATGTGTGTGACTGTGAAAGACTTGTCTATCATTTGAACAATGGTTAATTAAGAGCTGGTTGTACTCTTTTTTCCTTTTTAGGATTTCTCACAAGGGTGAGTTTTACCTAGAAATTTTTTTAATGAGGCAGCATTGCACTAAACAACTTCATTTTGGTTATTTCTGTTGTCTGTCGGCTTTGGACTTTGATTATGTGAATGTATGAACTGTGATCTGTGAATGTATCGGACATTTGGACTTAAATTCTGTGAATGTATGAAACCGTGACTGTATCGGACATTTGGAGTTTTGGACTTTAATTTTGTGAATATAAGAAATTGTGATGATGTGATCTGTGAATGTATGAATTATGAAACTTTGATTATGTGATCTGTGACTGTGAATGTGAAACTGTTATCTGTTTGTGAATGCAAAGGGGAACAGGCCGTGGGCTGACACGGCCCGTGAATCTGCTCAAGCTTTGCGGGTCGGCCCGGGACAGAAATCGGCCTATAGAACCGTGCTTAGGCCGAAGGCCAGGCCCATGGCCCTGTGAGGCACGGTGTAAGAGGCACGACGTGCCGTGCTGATCCATTGGCTATCGGGCCGTGCTGGCACGGACCCGTGCCGTGCTGTGCCGGCCCGTTGGCCAGCTATACCTGCCACGCACTTCTGGCGTGGATTATTCTTCGATCAACAAACGCAGAAAGAATTCGCTACCAGCTTTGACGTCGTCTTCAAGAACGCGAAAAAATCAGATCGATAAGATCCGGGGCTGTCCTGTCCATGTCCAGGTCCACCAGGCCAGGCCTGACCACACCACCAAACAGTTGCAGTACTAGCAGCTGCCGTGTGCACACCGATGGGTTCGTCAATCACGCGGATCCTCTCGCGATCCTGCTGGTTCCGGCCAGCAGGAAATATGTACTACATCCGCTGCAGGCCAGGCCCAGGGTCCCTTTTGCAGAATCTGCCCCCAGGTAAGCGAGGCTCCGTTCGTAGCCGGCTGACGCTGTTTTCTCTCTCTATCTCTGTCTCTGTCTCTAATATCTCTATCTCTATCTCTATTGTCAACATCTACTCAACAGGATCAAAATACTCATGTGATCCATATCCGGCAGGCAAATAATCACCACATGGAAACACTGGAAGGCAAGTAAATAAAATGAAATAAAACTCACGGAATCACTGGCAGATAAATAATCACCGCAAGGAGACACTGGAAAGGCAAGTAAATAAAATGAAATAAAACGGAAAGAGAATTATGGGAAGAGAAAGGAATTTATTGAAATATCACCACACAATGATCATGATCGTGATCCAAATCTTGTTCGTTGTCCTTCGCGTTGCGTGTTGACAACGAATATTTTTTTCTCAAAAAAATGAATTATTGACATGACTCATGCATGATAGGATATTGTAAGTCCAAGTATACATATTTTGGCAAGTCAGAGTATGAATAAATTCAATTCGATGTCTAGCAATAAATTTTCAGCCTTTAAGGCAACTGATGTTTGTCGTAACTTTCAGATAACAAGTTCAAGCCTGGCTTTTATTTCAGATTGATTACGATAATAAATGTATTTCTAGACATTATCATGGTATAATATACATGAAAAATTGAATTGATATATTCTTAATTTTGACTTGGCTAACAAACATCTCATTCAATTTATGTTGCACCGTGCAACGTACCAGCACTCTATCTAGTATTCTAAAAGAAAAATACTGTAGACATAAGTTCTAAGTGAACAGGGCACTGTTAGGTGTGCGAATCAAATCTTTGAAGAGATCCTTCGCCTGTCTTTACTATCATATCCTCCGGAATAGGCCCTTGGACTTTTCGTTTCCTTTCGCCTCCCTATTTTATTTTATTTATATTTGATTTGCAATTACACACCGTACTCGCATTATACAACAACAGCTCACCTAAGACAGGCGGCACTACTCTACTCCCGTATTAGGAGTATATAATAAAAATAATATGCTTTGCCGATACGATACGCACGGCACTAAGAGAGGAATAACAATCTTCTTTTCGATTTGATTCGCACAGCCTATCGTGCTTATATACAAATACAAAATCATGGCAGGCGGGGAGATTAGCAGACAACCAGGCAATTATTTTCTCAGGGCTGGTAAGAGTCAAGAGAGGAGAGGAGATCGTGCATGAACTGTGACCTCCATCCATGCGAATTGAGAAACGAGATGTTTCCGAACAAGAATTGGTTATTGGTTGGGGGAAGAGCTAGTATATATATATATATATAATAACAATAATATAACTGTTAATCCTGATACTGATGTTAATAAAGAGGAAAAAGAAACAGATGCTCTGATCTTGAAACGGTTAACATTATCTTTTTTGCGTGCCTGGGGGGCATCTTTTGCAGCAGCAGATCATCACAGAGGGAAAAGAACAGCAGCAAATGCTCTGCTCCATCAATCCCCGTTCCATTCCTAACATAACTTCGTTCCTAAAGCTAAGTCTCCCTAGGCGCCAAAAGTCAGCTTCTTGTTTGAGGCGGCGGCGGCGGCGGCAGCAGCAGCAGCAGCAGCAGAAGATCTATGTCCAAGAAAGAAGGGAAAAAATGGGGAAAAGAAAGAACAAAAAATGGATCCTACTAACTCCTAAGAGTACGCAATCAGATCCTCCCCGCAGACGATGATACGACGGCCGGGCGGACGGCCGCAGGGGATGGCTGGCTGATGAGATCATCTGATCCGGCTGCAGAGGCGGGAGACGTCGGAGGGGCGGACGGGCTTAAGAAGGAAGTCCTCGGCGCCCTCCTCCAGGCAGCGGGTGATGCGGTTGGGCACGTTCTCCGACGACATGATCACCACGGGGATCTCCCTCAGCTCCGACGACTCCTTGACGTGCTTGAGGAGCTCGTACCCGGTCATCCCGGGCATCCAGTAGTCCGTGATGATCATGTTCACGTCAGGGAGCAGACCCAGCGCCAGCAGCTCCAGCGCCCGCGTCGCCGACTCCACGGTGGTCACTGCAAAGAGATTCGAGACGACAGTCAGTTTTCATCCTCAGTGGTTCGTTCGCCGCCGAGCAAATCGGAGGCTCGTCAGTTCAATTAATCAATCGATCGAGCAAGAGGAGCTGCATGCTCTGCTCACCTCTGTACTTGGAGCTGCGGAGGATCTTGGCGATGACGGCGCGGTCGACGGAGCTGTCGTCCACCGCCAAGACGTGCTTCTCCTCCAGCTCCAGCTTCAGCTCCACCTCCACCTCCACCTCCACCTCCACCGCCACCGCATCCACCGGCACCACCTTCCTGTCGCCGGCCTTGGGCGACTCGACCTTCGGCGCCGGCGCCGGCACCGGGGACGGGGACACAGACGGAGCAGCAGCGGCAGCCATTGCAATTTGCAGAGACAAACAGTCCAAACTCCAACGAATCTTCCTGTGCCGGGATGTGATGCGATTGTGGAGCTCTCCTCTTGCTCTTGTTCGTGCGAGCGAGGGAATGAATGCAGGAGCAGGCAGACAGGTGCGGTTGCGGCGAGGAGGTGGAGGCGCTGCGGGCGTGTATATATACAGGTGTGGAAAGGGGAGACTAGATGTGGTGGTGGCGGGGGAATTAAATGCGTGGCAAATCCTGCGAGATCTCAGAGGGGATCCGAGGCGCGCGGATCGAGTAAGAGGAGAGGGCCCGCGGGCCAGGCCGATCCGCTGGGGGCCATGCGGCGGGGCCCGCGCGGCGATCCGCAAGGGATTTTCCTGCCTCGCCTCTCGCTGTCGACGCCTGTCACCCGGAACGCCTTGGTTTTTTTTCCCCTTCTCCTTCGGCGGTTTCCTTTTCCCGTGGCGTTGGTTTGCGTCTTCAGATTCTGGTGAGATTTGCGTGCATGGACCACGGATCCTGTGTGTTGGTGCCGCTTCGCTTTTGCATGCCGAGCGACGCTTTCTAGGTGAGCTGTTGGCAAATCTCCTCGGATTTCCAAAACAATTCTCCTTTATTCAAGTACTCCTCTTATATGGTCTGTTTGGATACGATCATACTCGTACGCAGGAGCTGATTGAGTTTAGTTTTTTTTTTTTTCGTTTTTATTTACAATTCAACAAATAAAGGTGGGTGTGAGCGGATCAATTTCGAAGTGACCGTAGAAGGATAGGATTTGAGTAGGCATACGCAATGATCGGGCCACCGGATTGCCCCGCGCCCTCGTTGATCTCGAGAGATCTCATCCGCGCGCGCCGAGCAAGGGTCACTGCACTTGGCTCTTGATGCGGAGGACGCGGTGGTTTGGTTTGGTTTCGCTGCGGGGGCTGGGGCTGTGCGCCGTGCCGCGCGTGGACCATGCATGCATGGCACGGCGGCATCTTGTGTGCAGGCGATCGCGATCGCGATAGCCTGCCAGCCGACACTGGCACTGAAAGGGCCGCCGATCGCCCCCGCTCCGTAATGCACGGCTGCACCGCACTGCCCGTGCCCGGCTGCTGTCGCGACACGATACGCCGCGCCGTAAGTGCTCCGCTCGCTCGCTCTCTGTGGGCCTGTGGGGGTGGACTGGGTCCACCGGGACCGCGGGTGAGTTGTGGTAGCCGCCTGGCCGGGGCGGAGCCGGAGTGAGAATTGGGGAGATCCGCATCCGCTGGCACTGACATCCTGGTCCTGGCAGCGTACGCGTATCCACCCGACTGGACGTATATGAATGACTGATGATGAATGTCAAGGCTGTGCCCGATTTCCGATTTGGGTGGGGTACTAGGAAAGATCGTCTAGATCGGTACAGTTGCGTCCAACAGTGCGATCCTGCACGGCTGCACTGCGAATACCGACACGCAGGCAGAACACGGAGCTGAGCGACGTGAATGCTCGTAAAAAGGTTCACTGGGGTTTAAAAAGCACTATTGTCAATATCTTAGATGTTGTAAAAAAATTTTCCTGTGCCTTTCGTTCTCTGTCTATCCATCTCGCCCTCGTCTTGTTCTTTAGAGCCTATACTGATATAGCTCTAGATTTGAGATCTCTATTGGTTCTATAATTTATAGACTAAATTAAGGTGGCTTAAATATTTTTTTATTTAGTCTTAATGTAAACGAAATAAATCATATAAATGCATTTAACATGTATGCAACCTTAGATCTAGGATTTCTTAGAGTTAAAGTTTACCAGCTACCGGAGTTCTTAGAGTTAACATGCCAGGTGACGTTTTTAATGTGGGCTGCTACTGGAGTTCGAGTTAGACTCGAATTTGATGTGATTTGGACCTCCAACTTGACTGACACACCCACATCAGTCTTCTCCATCTCCTAGCCTCTGTCTAATAGTTCTCTTCGAAGTTCCTAAGAATCGTAACATCATTTGATAACAATCTATTAATTCTCACAATCATGAAAATAATAGGAACAAGTTCACTTGGAGATTAAATTGCCATGCTTGAGCTCTAGTAATTGGACCTTGCATAGCCACTTGAGGAGTGAATCCAAAGAGAGTGATGTCCTCATCTTTCTCCCCCATGTTTGAAATACTAAAGCTGGGGTTAACCAAAACTCAAGAAGCAACTCAAGTGCATTGTTATTTATCGTCAACTGTGTTAAAAATGACCAACAACTCTAGGCATCAGCTCAAACTTTCACAACTCTAAAAATATATATTTACTCAAGCGTAATAAAGATCTATCTTTTTCTCAAGTGCAACCATAGGTAGTCACCAGGTTCAATTTTAACTACTTTTCTACCTTTTACTACCAACAAGCAAGCCTATATTTTTTCATTCATTTTTTTTCAATGTTTTCCTTGGTTGTTCCATGCATTTGCATAATAAAATCAACACATTTCTTAGCATGGTTATATGCGTGCTCACTAGTAGGTAAAGTCAATAGATCAATAAAAGATCCTGGACTAAATCCATATACAGCCTGGAAAACAAGACTTTTATTCTTTTTTTAGTAGAGGGAGTGGACAATAGTAATGCTATCTAAAAAGACAAACATTTACAAGTTGTTTTACTAAAAAATGTCAACCTATACACGACGTGGGGGCAAAATAAAATGTTCCACTAACATATATTCGTATTAAAAAGTGTTTTTAAGACGGCTTTGACTCTGTGCAACTGGCAAAGAGACACTGCTCCGTTAAATTAATGGCTCAACAAAACACACAGCCCTACAGTTTCGCAGGTCTGTGTATTTACTAGAATAGAATCCCGGCCGAGCAATTGGTAAAACAAAAAAATGCAGATCAATTTACGAAGAGCTACTCCTCACAAATCTTCGCCCCGTTGGTTTGAGCTTATTTGGCTAATAAGCCATGACTGAAAGTATTATTGGCTGATTTGGTGTAAGAAAAAAATATTATTTGTTGACTGATAAATCATAACTTGTAAGTCAAACACGACCAAACAAGTAGGCTGCTTTATTTGGCGCACTTGTCTTGTCTCCTCCCATTTTGAATGGCCAACGAGGCCGAGATGTCCACTCGACGCCATTGACCCGCTGCTAGAAGATCTCATTTGACATCAGCAGGAAACGGTGGCAAACAACGGCAGCGCTAAAATAATCTCGAAAAAAGAAGTAGTATACGCTCGACCGGGAAGAAGTGGTCATCGCCTCGCAATTATTCCGAATCCCGTGTGCGTTGGTGTGGTGGCATCTCACATTCTCGCGGCCGATGCCGACGCCGATCCGTGCCCGTTCGCTTCGCTGACGAGTTATAGCTAAAAGTAATATTAACTAATTTATTGTAAGAAAAAAAATACTGTTAATTAAAAATACGGTTTATAAACGAGCGAACATACCACCGATCCGCTGGCGTCCACCACGGATCCCAGCGGATTCGATCTTCGCTAGCTGCAGAAACTTCCCACCTGACCCCGTTGAAATCCGAAGGTTTTCCAAAACTCCCAACCACCGCCGTGCGTGCCTTCCGTGTCGTGCAGACGGCAAACCTGCATTGACCGGCCGGACCCGGGACCCAAATTCTTTTCCTTTCACTTTCTCGCGCTCTCAGGTGGTGGCCTGTGATGAGTGCTGTGCTGTGTCTGCTGCCTCCGGTCAAAGAATAGAAGAAGATCAGAAGGAAGGAACGTCAGAAAATGAACTAGAATGAAATAAAGTAAAAGTAGGAGGGAGCTTGTGCATCACTGCTCGCTGTTTGCGCACTGTTCTGAGGTCATCCGTATCTCACTCACATGGGGTACAAGATCTTTGTGCCATGACGTGCGTTGCAGTGGTTAAAAAGGTAACAGTCGTAGTAAAAGCATCTACTAGTTCGTTGTTGCTTGGAAATTGAAGCTCTCTTTTGCCATATTGCAAGCACAGAGCTTATTAGTGCTGCCAAGTGCCAAATTTATATATTGTCAGGTAGAGCGTAAGGCAAAAGACAAATGCCATGATGCACACATCCTGTACGCAGATATGGCCCATCACTCCACGAAAAACGAACGCTATTGAGGGAAGCATGCACTGACCGGAAAGAAGGAAAAAAAAAGAAAAACATGTCCAAGCCGCCGCCGCAGCACCCGGTTTTCCAACCGGCGGATACCGGAGAGCAATCAGAGGCAAAATTCTCCCGAGAAAATTCAAATGCAAACCCCTTTTGCTTGATCCGTCTCGGCACACGCCTGACGCCTGGTGATGGGCAAAGGAAAGGCGCGCGTGATTCGGAGAATTTTGGGTGGACAGGATCTTTGGGCAGGTGAAGAATAACCATGGACAGCCGCATCCTACCTTCCCCCTCTCCATTTTTTTTTGGCAATAGAGCAGGATCCAGTAAAATCCTCTGCACTACAGCGAGACATATACACCTGGCTGACAACCTTAACTTAGCTGACGTTACTTTTTTTTAGAATAATATAACGCTGAGCTGATATTCTGTCATCTGAGCTTCAGTTTCGGAAAGAACACTGTAAGAATGCATAAATATTTATATATTTTAATATATAATTGCGGCGGATTGTTTCCCAAGCGCTTATTTTGGAGCAAAGTACGAGCCTGACGCCTTAACCCATGACGTTACTTTTTTTAGAATAATATAACGCTGAGCTGATATGCGGTGTCATCTCATCAAAGAGGAAGAAGAAGTAAGAATGCTGCATCTTCAGCTTAGAAGCATTTCAGTCCCAAGGCTTGGAGCAAAGTCGAGCCACGCGCCCACGCCCATGGTTTCTTCCCTGCGGACTGCCCATGCCCATTGCGGTGCCTCATCAAAGAGGAAGAAGAAGATACGCTTTTCTTTCTTTGGCTCAAAATTTTATGGGCAGGCAACGCAGGCACAAGACTGACGTGGTACGCATGCAATGCAATGCAACGCAACGCTACCCTGTACTAGGTGACGAGAGGAGACGAGACGATTCTTTTGGGTCCTCGAGCGGTGATACGATACACACGGGACACGAGACGTTTCCGTCGACCGGT